TTTATTCTATTTACCCACGTCTGTCTCTTTCATGCACTGTTACACTCTCATTCCATCTGGTGGGCACATTTATCTTATATGTGACCTTATCTGTGAATACATACTGCTGTTTCTCATAAACACCTCACAACAGTTATCTTACTGTAGATGACCTAATTCTACTTCCTCACTTTCACATTAACACATTATCTCTTACTAAATCTTTTCCTTTCTCACACTTTTGGAAGTCTTGTGATGAATAACCTAACTAATGGAGACCTATTTAACTCTAATATTCCACTGTTAAATATTTATCAGTAGTTAATGAGAGCAGTTATCTCGACTTTTTAGTAGATAGAGAGATGGAAGATTAAACCTTGTTTATTCATTCATCCTTGTTCTGTAACATTTGCCATATGCTCTTTTTTTCCTGCTCTTGTCCGTCATACCTGTTTGTTTTTTCCAAATGAAATGTGCTGCCATGCATCCTTCTGATTCAACAGACCCATTTTTCTAAATGGCTGTTTGTTTTATTTAGGGTCTGGGAAGTCTGGAGCCAGCAGAAGCTCTTTAAAATGGCTTTTTATATCTTTTAGTGATTGTGTAGACTATTGTGTGCCTCCAGTTAATGCATGGAGTTGGACTTGGCGATTATTGGTTAGCACGTGAAACAATACATTTAGCTATGGAACTTGCATGTTTTACCCATCTTTCTTATTTTTTGTCCTCTCGCTATGTTATGAATAAAAATAACAAAAACAGAATAAAAAATCCTGCATGTAGTTGTAATAGTGTACATTAATAATACAAAAATATACTGTCCAATACAATATAATTTTTTTTACATAAAACTATAGATATATATTTTTTATTTTAAAAGATCATGCATAATATATTTACAATGGTTTTACTGGAGGCATGGCACTAGTTAGTTGAATATGAATAAATATATGAATAAAAGATAGATGTGAATAAAAATGAACAAAGTATAAACATTGTAGATTAAAAGTAATATATTTAAATTATTATTTTTTTTACATTTTATATATACAGTATATATATTTATATATATATATGCTGTATATATTTCAATTAGCTAAATTGTATTACATAAGAGTATGTTGTATGTAATTTTATTAAAGCAAAATGCCTTATAGCCTTTCCTTAGCTCAAACAGTGGAGGATGGTATTAGCAATGCCAAGGTAAGCATTTAAATTCCCTGAGAAAGCAAGAACTGCTAAAATATGTTCCTTAAATGCAATGTAAATCCCTTTCTGCCAAATGCATAAATGTAAATGCAAAAATATCCCCAGTATAGTGTCATCTCTTTTTTTTTTCTAGCAGTATAGCCTGTAACCTTATTTCTAATATGCCTCAAGCTTTTATGAATGGCTTTTTTTCATCAGTTAAGTGACTCTTCTCATTAACATTCAGACGCAGTTGTATGAATCACAGCTCTAGTGGCTGCTGCTGAATTCATTGTCCTTATGTTACCTGGGGATCAAGTATCAGCCAGAGGGCATGTGACACTTTGTCTTTATATAAAGCCAGTGAGACATTCCACAGAGCCATTGGTTTCCAGCAGTCATAAAGGACAGTGTCCCATAGAGTTGTTCTTCTGTTGGCCAGACACACTGGCAGAGCAGAAACCCTATTGGCCCGGGTAGTGATTTCATAGAAGAAAGAAAGAAACCGTAAGTCAACACTTAAGTCAAATGGAATATGTGTGCCGAATCATTCGAAGTGTTTCCGAGTGCTGTGGGAAGAGATTGCGCTAAGGACTCTTGCAGAATGTCATCTGCTTATGCGTGTCGTGACGCTGGCGGCCCTCAGGCACCCCTCAGGCTGAACTGATTCTGCCCTTCTGCGTTAGACTCTGTAGAGCTGTACTACAAAGCTCTCGCTCCACGCTGTGGTCACAGGCTGCACTGCTTCTGTTCAAATCATCTCCAAAAGCTTCTTTGACTAGACTGTGTGCAACAAAAGCTTACATACGAATTAAAGAAACATCCTCCGATAAGGCATCAGCATTGTGGTGCATTTTATTGCCGTCATGTTCTGTATCAGAGTTATTCTTGGCAACTGGAAAGATCCATTTACATGCTATAATGCAATATAAAACTGCTAAATCAGCTTATGTTTTATGATCTCTGAAATTCTTCATGCTCAGCCATTCTGAGATTAATCATTGAAACTGGATCTCTGGTGCAGAAACAGCTTCACGTCCAAAGCTTGTTCTGCACTTTTTAACTAATAAAGGCATTGAGAAAATGTTAAGCCGTTACTTAATGGAAGCTTTAATGCAGTGTGTCAAACTTAATGCTTTTTCACTGTGCCTCTTGAATACAGGCACCCTAAAATTACATTGCATGTGTTTTTAGCTCATTTGAATGAAGGTAATGCTAGCAAAGGTTAATATTGCAGCATTAAAGGTGATAATGCCAGTGGCAGAGTGACTTGTTTGGGTTGTCGCTTGGCCTAGTTAGCTACAACTCCCATTTCTCATGGCATCATGTTTCTCTACAGGTGCAATTTGGAATGACCAAATGTAATCACATGATATTGAGGACACCACTTAGCTTATGGTAAACAGACCATGTCCCATACTAACATTTCATACTTGACGCCCTCTTCCTTTGTGTATGTATACATTACATTGCATGTGTTTTTAGCTCATTTGAATGAAGGTAATGCTAGCAAAGGTTAATATTGCAGCATTAAAGGTGATAATGCCAGTGGCAGAGTGACTTGTTTGGGTTGTCGCTTGGCCTAGTTAGCTACAACTCCCATTTCTCATGTTTCTCTACAGGTGCAATTTGGAATGACCAAATGTAATCACATGATATTGAGGACACCACTTAGCTTATGGTAAACAGACCATGTCCCATACTAACATTTCATACTTGACGCCCTCTTCCTTTGTGTATGTATACACTAGCACTCTCACACATTTCCAGTTACACCTGAAAGCCTATATCGAGGGAGCATGACTAAGGGATGGCATGGGGTGGAGTTATTTTGGGATCCCTGGGAAAAGGTCTCATGTAGACGGTAAGGGAGATTTGATGATGGGTACATTGAGTGTTAATGGGGCAGGGGTGTGTTTTTGTGAGTATGAGTGTGTGTGTCATCTAATGGAAAAATCAGCAGATGGCTTGTCTACATTACTCTCTCTGTGGAGATACTGTGTGGTCCCTTCTTTTCTACGTTGGCCCCTGGGATGGGGAGAGGCTGGAATTTCGACCTGGAGTTTCAGAGGTTAGGAGAGTGCATGGTACAGTTCAGATAGCAACACGACTCCATTCTGAAATTCCCACGTTTATTTTGTGACACTTTATGTGAGTGTTTATGTACTGGGTGGATTACCTTTTTATGCTATCCTCATGAGTATGTACCTAGAGCTTATCCAGAGTCTAGACGTTGTAAAAATGTCTCGTCTTAATATCATTAAAAAAAAATTTTTTTGTCGTCAGTGAGTGTGTTTATGCACATATCTTAACCTTATGCCTAATAATCTGACAGTTTGTAAGGTCATATATGGATTAAATGCATTAAACAGTGCTGTTTTGTCAGGTAAAAACCAGAAACTTTTTAATAAGATCCCTGGGAAAAGGTCTCATGTAGACGGTAAGGGAGATTTGATGATGGGTACATTGAGTGTTAATGGGGCAGGGGTGTGTTTTTGTGAGTATGAGTGTGTGTGTCATCTAATGGAAAAATCAGCAGATGGCTTGTCTACATTACTCTCTCTGTGGAGATACTGTGTGGTCCCTTCTTTTCTACGTTGGCCCCTGGGATGGGGAGAGGCTGGAATTTCGACCTGGAGTTTCAGAGGTTAGGAGAGTGCATGGTACAGTTCAGATAGCAACACGACTCCATTCTGAAATTCCCACGTTTATTTTGTGACACTTTATGTGAGTGTTTATGTACTGGGTGGATTACCTTTTTATGCTATCCTCATGAGTATGTACCTAGAGCTTATCCAGAGTCTAGACGTTGTAAAAATGTCTCGTCTTAATATCATTAAAAAAAAAAAATTTTGTCGTCAGTGAGTGTGTTTATGCACATATCTTAACCTTATGCCTAATAATCTGACAGTTTGTAAGGTCATATATGGATTAAATGCATTAAACAGTGCTGTTTTGTCAGGTAAAAACCAGAAACTTTTTAATAAAAAAAAACAGATTGTGCACCAATATTTTTATACCAATTTCGCTATGCATGTAGACTATGCATGCATGCAGACTTGCTATGCATTATCTAGTTTTTAAAACAAGTGGACTTTTTATGGTTCTGAGCATATTCTTGTGCATGTAAACATTTTTTTTTCATTCCAAATGTTGTTATAAAGCAGCATGACTTTCTTACATGAAACACAAATAGAGAAATTTCAAATAATGTATTGTTTTCTCTTTTCCATACAATTACAATATATGGGGACTGAAGCATCATGGTGTTTTTTTATAGCTGTAAAACTTCAGTTCTCATTCATTGTAATTGCATGGAAAAGCACAAACCATATATTCTCCATTTGTGTCCACCAATAAGTCATACAGGTTTGGAATGACATATGGGTGAGTAAATGATTACAGAATTAAAATTTTTGGGTAAACTGTTCCTTTAAGGCTGGAATGCAATGAAATCGGAACATATTTTAAAACACTAGACATCATACACTTGCCAAGTTTGTAAATGGTTACAGAGAAGATCTGGGTATCATATACTAAATGGCTGTGGACTTGCAGGTAGTTTGATCACAAAGAAACATGAGCCTTGTTACTAGAAGATGCATGGCAAATGAAAATGTGTTGTAATTTAAACACAATCATCTTAAAATTACAAACATGTTTGATATCCATAGAATCATAGTCTGAAGATAAAAATCTGTACCCATCATACATTACGTGGTTTTCTGTGAAATCTGTCGACTCTGACTGCCCAAAATCTGGCTCAAAATCTAGTTCTGATCACTCTAACTTTGTAATTTTTTGTTTTCCCCCCATCCTCATTTTTCTTTCAGGATGGACAAGGAGGTTCTGTTAGAAAATGTTTCTTTCATGCCTTGATTGTTCAAGCAGATACATGAAGTGGCAGAAGGTTTTAAGCCAAAGCAACAACACCCTAAAGAACAAACAAATGAGCTGTCTTTTCACATGATGCCTTCAGCTACTTATGCATAGGGTTGATATATGGACGAGAGGAGTACCATACAAAGAGAGAGACAACGGAGCGGCGATTCCGTCGCAGGCTATGGGGGCCATGGTGACCTAGAGTCAATAGTCGTTTCCTGGCAGGACAACTTGATTCCAGTTTAATCCCTGCTTGCTCTCTTTGTCTTCTACCTCCCTACCAGAGTGAGGCGCCACCCTCTCTCTGTTCCTGCCACCCACTTGGCCAAGACAGCTATGGCTGGAGTGAGGAAGTTGGCACGAGTAGTCAGGCACCAGGGTCTCCACCGCCTGATCTTTGCACTCATCCTCTTCTGTCTACTCTCCATGGCCTACTTGGCTTATCACGTCAGTGCTGGACCCAAGATCAAGGAGGCCCCTGTGCCATTACCACTGGGGGACTGTGTAGCTACATCAGTAGTTGGTGGCGGACAAAGGACTCCACTGTTCCTGCCATCACAGGTCAGCCAACGGCGACACTCGGCGAGGACAGCAGACACCTCTAGGACGGAGCCTGTGGTGTTACTCTTTGTAGAAAGTATCTACTCCCAACTTGGACAAGAGATCGTAGCCATTTTAGAGTCAAGCCGCTTTCATTACCGCACTGAAATTGCACCGGGGAAGGGGGACATGCCTCCTTTGGCTTGGCGAGGTCGTGGCCGATACACCCTCATCGTCTATGAGAATCTGCTCAAGTACGTCAACTTGGACTCATGGAACCGCCAGTTACTGGATAAATACTGCCAAGACTATGGAGTGGGAATCATTGGCTTCTATCGGGCAAATGAAAACTCCCCATCCAGCGCTCAGCTTAGAGGCTTCCCTCTCTTCTTGCGTTCAAACCTGCCACTTTGGGATTACAAAGTCAACCCTGCTGCACCCCTGCTCTACATCACCAAACCTAATGAGCTGGAACCTGGCCCTTTACCTGCGGACAACTGGACCATCTTCCTGTCCAACCACAGCACTTATGAGCCTGTGCTGTTAGCTAGCCCCAGACCAGCAGAACCCAATCAGCTCCCAACACACTCACACCAACAGAGAGCACTGCTGGCTACAGTTATGCAGGACCTAGGTCTTCACGATGGGATCCAGCGGGTGTTCTTTGGAGGTAGCTTGTCTTTTTGGCTGCACAAGCTGCTGTTCGTGGATGCTGTGGGTTATTTAACTGGCAGAAGGCTCAGCCTCTCATTGGACAGATTTTTGCTTGTGGATGTGGATGACATCTTTGTTGGGAAGGAAGGGACACGCATGAAAGTGGCAGATGTTGAGGTATGAGCCTTAAAAAGTTATTGGATATTCTCGCCAAGTGTGATTCAATGTATTCTGACTTTTCCAGGTGTAAGACATTGAGTGCTTGCCAAAACTACCATCACTGATACTGTTAGTCATATTAAGTAAAATAAAATTGTATTATAAAAGTACTAATATTTATGACTTAAATTTTAAATGTTAAACCAAAAAAAAAAGTTAACTGAGAAGCTTGCTGAGGTGTGCTGTTACTTTTAAGCAAGCAGACTTAAAGGGATAGTTCACCCAATAATGAAAATCCTGTAATCATTTACTCACCCTACAATTGTTTCAACAAGTTTTTCTTCTGTTAAACACAAAAGAGAATTTGTTTTTTTTAAGTTGACGGTCCCCATTGACTTTCATAGTATTTTCTTCCATACTATGCAAGTCAATGGGGACCATCAACTGTTTAGTTACCCATATTCTTTTGTGTTCAACAGAAAAAAGAAACTCATACAGGTTTGGAATAACTTGAGGGTGAGTAAATGTGAACTATCCCTTTAAGATTTTGATTTGTTTCCCCCATGGTAGCCGATGAAACACCTATCCCCATAGACTTTCAAGACTTTCATTTCAAGTGAATGGAATATCATGGAGACTTGTGGGTGGCTGTTATGACTTGAGTCAATGTGCAACCACCTAGCAATTGCCCAGATCACCCTAGCAACAGGCAAAACCACATTAAATGTCTCAGCAACCCCCATTTACATTTGTATGAGAAAATGTAAAAAAAAAAAATTCTTATTTGTGATATGAAATCATCAGTTTGTGGGGTGGATAGGGAATCAGGCATCAGTCAGACCTGACCCAGTTTGTCTTCCATCAAAGTTATCTTTTGTTTGAATAATCCGAACTCTTTATTCTCAGAGCTTCTCTCTGACCGCTGTCACACTCCCAGAGCTCCTCCATGACTGAATTGAAGCTAATGAATTAGCACACTTAATACGGATCAGGGAGATGTATTCTCTCTCTGCCGTTGTTTGTAGAGAGCCGTGATTATTGTGCGAGAGGGAGAGCTTGTTTGTAATGCAGTGGAGCATGGTGTTTTTCTTTCACCATCCCTCTCTCTCTCCCTCTCTCCCATCTCCTGAGAGTGAAAGAAAGCTCTCGCTGAAGGCTAGCATGGGGCTAATTAGACTGGCTCACTTTTTAATTTGGGCAGATAAGTTCTCATAGGGGGCCGCGTGGCCCACCACACCAAAAGCAATGTCATGCCTGAGGTTTTTGGTTTAACATCTCTCTCTCTTTCACTTGCTTTTCCCCCCTGGTAAGAGCTATGATTTTCCATCTTTTGTTCTATCCTTATTCCTTTTCACCCTTTATCTTCCTTGCCTTTCTTGTCTCTGCAAGATCTGCCCTCTTTTATCTACCTCTACTCCAACCTGCATGTGTATAATATCAAAATAATATACTTGATATAACTAGGGCTGCCGTTATTGCTGGTAGACTATGTGATGGAAGAAATGTCAACCTGAAACTTTTATACAATGCTAGAGATATATTTGTGTGGCTATCAGAACCACTTTATTTTTTACACCTGGGAAAACAAAACACTGAATAATGCAAAAATAGAGGGCAAAATGTGTCCACGTCCGGATGAGGAAGAACCTGAATATAAAGTGTAGCTGTTTACTGTTGTTTATGTTGCATCTGCCATATTAATACAGAAATGAAGTGATGTGCGGTCACAGTTTTGAATGTGACTTATCCAATCAGAGTTTAATGCTTATCCAAAATCGGTTTTAACACATGGCTATTCACTATATCTACAATTGTCTTTGTTAACTTACAGCAAAAAGGCTAACTGTTCTGCAAGATATCATCACTGTGACTCATATTGTGATATAACATTAATTCCACCCACCCTTAGTTGCTTCACATATCCTAAAATAATGATGCTCATCAGTCAGCATCTATGTTATTTAGATTATGTATGTTTGTGCCAGCTGAGATGTTTTATCTCCCTCCTCTCTAGGCGCTGCTTCACACACAAAATAAACTCCGTTCTCTGGTACCTAATTTCACCTTCAACCTGGGATTCTCTGGCAAGTTTTTTCATACAGGTATGATGAAGTTGATGGTTGTGTGAGTTATAGAGATAAAACCATCTCCACCTCCACACGCTCATTTATTGTCTCTTTCTGGTCTTGTTCTTCAGGTACAGATGAGGAAGATGAGGGTGATGACACCCTGCTTCGACACCGGCAGGAGTTCTGGTGGTTCCCGCATATGTGGAGTCACATGCAGCCTCATCTCTTCCACAACGTCAGCGTACTCGCAGAACAGATGAGACTTAATAGACAGTTTGCACAGGTCAGAATCTGTCCTGATACATGCCAAATAATATGCTGTTCAATTCTCGATTCTGATACATGATATTGAATTGGTTTTCCATGGCTGTAAAGTAATGTCTCTTTCAGGAGCATGGGATCCCCACAGACATGGGTTACGCTGTAGCCCCCCATCACTCAGGTGTGTACCCTGTACACAGTCAGCTTTATGAGGCCTGGAAGAGCGTATGGGTCATCAAGGTGACCAGCACAGAAGAGTATCCTCATCTCAGGCCTGCCCGCTACCGCAGAGGCTTCATACACAACGGCATACAGGTGGGAACTCAAGTGTGCTTACAGTACCTCCAATTAACTATGTGTCTCATGGGGCATTTACATAAGATGTTTGGGTGCATTCTAGTGTCTAGCAGAACAGCTAGACTAAATGCAACAAAATGTAGCACAGGATGCATGCTATTTTTAACTCGATGCAATGTTTATGGTGCAAAATGCTAAAAAACTGCGATGCAGTGGATAAAGACATCCATGTGAATGCATGTGGCTCAGCAGAGGTGCTTTTAAGACGTGTGTAATGATTGCTGTCTAACAGCTAATGCACTGTAAATAGGTTGCTGTAAATTTTACAGTAACTTACTGGCAGCTGGATTCTACTCAGTTGTTTTCAACATAATAAAAACAATAATAATAATAATAATAGTTTTCTGAGCAGCAAATCAGAATATTAGAATGATATCTGAAGGATCATGTGACTGGAGTAATGATCCTAAAATTCTGCTTTAATCACAGAAATAAATTACATCTTAAAATATATTCAAATACAAAACAGTTATTTTAAATAGTAAAAATATTTCAGAATTGTACTGTTTTTGCTGTACTTTGGATCAAATAAATGCAGGCTTGGTGAGCAGAAGAGACTTCTTTAAGAAACATTAAAAATCTCCCTCTTTCCAGAATTCCAGCTGATCTGTGACTTTCAATGCATTTGGTGCCACAAATGTTGACCGTCTGAATGAACCTGCAAGCACAAGAAAAAAAAA